AAAGCGCTCAAGTCAGCCGGTGTCGCGGTCCCCTTCCCCAGTCCTCGCCCTCCTAAAGACGCCCTATACAAGCTGCAGTACGAACGACCTGCGAGCATCAACGCGACCGGCAGCTACCCGCTCAAAACCGCGACTCGACACGAGGAGGGACTGTCAATTGATCTGGTTGTGACAATGCCGAGGAGTCTGTTCACAGACAAGGATTACCTGAATCACCGGTACTTTTACAAGCGCTCGTACTATCTGGCGTGCCTAGCTGCTGGCATCAAGGCTTCGAAGGAACACAAGTTTCAATTATCCTTCGATACTCTGAATGGCAACCAGCTTCAGCCTATCCTGGTTGTACGACCGAGCGGAAACGGCGATGCGGACGACTTCTCGAGCTCCAAGTGCCAGATCAACATCCTGGCCGCGGTAACGGAGAACACCTTTCCGTCGAACAAACTGCTGCCCACCTCGAACTGCGTGCGACCAAGAGGCAGCGACGACGAAACCTCCACCAAGACGCTCACTCCAACGCCATTCTACAACAACACCCTGCAATCGGATGCCAACGTCACAGCCTACCTCAAGCTTCTTCACGGCACCGCCTCGAGAGCTGATGCGTTCAAGGACGCTTGTATACTTGGACGTGTTTGGCTGAAGCAGCGTGGCTTCGGTAGTCAGATTCGCAAAGGAGGTTTCGGAAACTTCGAATGGGCTGCGATCATGGCTATACTGCTGCAGCCAAACGCTGGCACCGGCGCACAATCTGTCTCTTCAGGATTCAGCAGTTACCAACTGTTCAAATCGACGTTGCAGTTTTTGTCCCGAGGTGATCTCACGAAGAAACCGTTCATCTTCCAAGCCACAAACATCAACATACCCAAGGCCGAGACTGCGCCTGTCGTGTTTGATGGCCCTCGTGGACAAAATGTCCTGTTCAAGATGACACCATGGTCCTACACGCGTCTACGATCCGAAGCGAAAGCTACCGTAAACATGCTCAGTGACTCTGTGTTCGATCACTTCGACGCGGCATTCATTCTGAAGACGGAGTTGTTGAAGTACCGTTACGATGCCACACTTGAGATACCTCTTGCGTCGCTTGGACTCGAAAACGCCGGTGAGGAATATGACCAACGCGTCAGCGAGACTTGCAAGAAAGTACATAATAGTCTAACTCGCGCGCTTACCGACCGTATCTCAGCTTTGTCATTTACCATGCCCGAAGAAGAGTCGTGGTCGATATCCTCGCGACGTCCACAGGAGAAGCAAAGCAGAAGCATACTTGTCAACTTCGCTACTGATCCCGCCAACGCCACTCGCACTGTCGACCACGGTCCTTCTGCTGAGAATAAACAGGAAGCTGCAGCATTCCGAAAATTCTGGGGCGAGAAGGCGGAGCTCAGACGCTTTAAAGATGGCAGCATTCTTGAGAGTGTTGTCTGGGCTGTCAAAGACGCATCTGTTTCCGTGATCGAACAGATCGTACTCTACATCCTTGGCAAACACGTAGGTGAGAAAGTGGCGGAAGCAGCCAAGTTCTCGAGCGACTCGTTTGGACACCTCATCCCTGCTGGCCGCATGCAGGGACAATCTGGGACCGCGCCATTCTTGCCCATCATGAACGCTTTCAGTGCTATGGAGAAGGACATTCGAGATTTGGAAGAACTCCCACTTCGCCTTCGCCATTTGAGGGCCGCCGACCCACAACTTCGATATGCGTCTATTGACGTTCCAGCCGCAGGCCATGCTCCCGCTTCTGTCGTATTGCAATTCGAGGGTTCTGGTCGCTGGCCGGACGATCTATGCGCCATACAACGGACCAAGATCGCTTTCCTGCTCAGGCTAGCCGAGCTTCTATCCAAGCTTGAATCTGGCTATGTTGCTCGCGTGGGCATGGAAAATCCGTCACAACCAGCTCAGAACCAAGCATTCCTCGATGTTACCGTCGCTGCAGGCTTCACATTCCGAATTCGCATCTACCACGACCGTGAACCTACGCTGTTCGACCGCCAGATCAAGGATAAGTCATTGGATGGACCATCAAGAGAATCCGCTGCTGCATCTCTGGCACTGTACAAGCGCGAGTTTGTCCAGTCCCCTATGCATTCGCAGGTACTACAGACGTTATGTACCCGTTTCTTGGCCCTCTCGCCGGCCATACGGTTGACGAAGAAGTGGTTCGCATCGCACCTTCTGGCACCCCACTTTTCACCTGAGCTTGTTGAGCTTCTCGTCATCCGCACATTCCTGCAGCCACACCCATGGCCTGTACCCACAACAGCAACTACCGGCTTCCTACGGACTTTGTCTTGGATAAGCCGATGGGATTGGAGACATGTCCCATTGATAGTCGACTTCTCGACAACGTTCTCTGCAAACCCCGCAGATTTGGAGGACACCACATCCAAGGGTATGAAGTCTGAAGATCTCGACCGGTTACGGACGCGCTTCGAAGCATGGCGTCGCATAGATCCAGCCATGAACCGCGTTGTGCTCTTTGCCGCAACAAACCTTGACGAAGAGGGCACAACCTGGACCGATAAAGCGAAGCCTGAAAGGGTTGTTGCTGCACGTTTAACGGCGTTGGCAAAGGCGGCTACGCAGGCTGTTCGAGCGGACGAAGACCGTCTACTGAAGCATATCAACAACAGCAAAGATGCTGCTAAGGCACAGAACACGTTCTCGCCCGAAGCACTCTTCACGCCCGGCATCTCCGACTTCGACATCACCATAACCATATCCACGAAACACACGCTCAAGCAAACCAAATCTAGCAAATCCACTCCCAAATTCAAGAACCTCGACCTCCAGATGTCCACCACCAGCTCATCACCGGCCGCACCACCGCTCCCGCAGCTCTTCGCACAGGATCTACTAGACATCTACGGCGACGCCGTGCTCTGGTTCTGGGACCCGGAGACACTAGACAAGATCGTTGGGCTGTGGAATCCAGTTGTCACTGCGCAGAGGAGCTGGAAGGTCAAGCCTGGGTGGAATAGTGTTCCTGTTGCTGGCAAGAAGGATGATGTTGAGATTAAAGCGAATAGAGAGGGTATTGTGCATGAGATCAAGCGGTTGGGTGGGGAGTTGGTTAAAAGTGTTGAGGTTAAGGCATAGTTTGCTCGGGGTTGAACGATAGTAATGGGGAATGTAGAGCAATGTTTGAGTAAGTTGTCCAGAGGAAGCAATACCCAAGCTGAAGTTTTCTGTTCGATCATAGCATCGCCGCAAATCGCATACGCTTACTTGCACGGACATCTACGAAATCTTCTTATCGTGAGCCCCGAAAACCTCATCGAACTGCTGTTGAAAACATCTCACTCTCACCAACAATCTCACAAACTCGTATCCAATCTGGTGATGTAAATTAAGCAATTAGCGAGAACTTGAGAAACGTAGGGTCAGCCATATTGGCATTACACTATTGATTGATCGATTTCTGGATTTGTAACCCTCGGTCAGGTGTAACCTGCCTAATTAGATACTTCGGCGGTGTGGCCTCACCAACAACAAATTAAAATCGCTTGGCTAGATCTTACATCGTGACATCACGATATCAGACCATCTTACATCTCGTAAAACGCGGCTGAATTGTATTGCATCTGCATTGCTTACTTAGGGGCGTGGTTAGGGATGGACTGAGCATTTGTGTCGTACAGTTCAAAGTAACGACGCCACAACATCGTCCCAGAGTGTAGAAGGCGTATGAGCTGACCTGGGGAGACGCAACAAGACACCTGAGAAAGATGTTCCTGACATCGCACGATGTTGAAAAAGCTCACTGCGCAGAGTAGCTGAGGTTCTGCAGACGTCAAGTCACTTGTGGGAGAAGTGTCGGATGTTGAACGATCATCTAGATAACAATAGCATTTAACCTCATCGCCTCTGGGAGATAACAGCATCATCGCAAGAACAACAGCACAGCAACTTCACCATTCAATCTCAACCCATAAATCTACTTCCCAACCTCACCATGCGTTTCCAACTCACTTTCCCAACCCCCCTTGTGATTGCTGCGATGATGGCCGTGCCAGCCCTTGCAGCGAGCCCTGGCCTTTACCTTTGCCAGAACTGGGGATTCAACGACAGGCCCGACAACTTCTGCTACAAGTACACTGAGCCTTGGGGCAAGTGCAGTAAGTTCCCATTCAGATAAGGACTTTGATCACGTATGACTTATTATATACGCAGCAACAATCACCGGCCGTTTTCCCGGGGGTGATCGAGGCGTGTCGTCTGCTGGGCCTGACCAGGGGAACTGGTGTACCTTGTATGAGTGAGTAGTTCTGCGCCGCCGAATACGTGCGACTGGATTGACCTAGGCTAATTATCGAAACAGGGACGAAGGCTGTACTGGAGCAGAGTTGCAGCTTTACTGGCCCGGGTTTTCTGCCCTGTCGCAAGTGGGTTGGAATGATCGTGCTAAGAGCTTCAATTGCGCGGCTGTGTAAAAGCAGAGCTCTCCACTGGTACTAGATTCAACTCTAGTACAGCATACTGATGCCAAAGAGTATGCATGACTTGGATGCGGAATAGGGCTTAGCCAAAGAGCGAGTTTCTGCGCTCGAAATAGCAAATTAGCTAGCATGCTCCGCATCGATAGTCTGCTATCAATATCACCATCTCTGCACATTACCAGGTATAATCAAGTTTCTTCCAACTTGGACACCGCAGCAATCTCAACAGTACCAACAACACACGTGACGAAGGTCATAGCGTAGTGTTTTAGTATACAGATTCCGTAGAGTTCGGCCGATGTCACGTGCGCGCTTCGCTCAATCGAGGGTGGAGGATTACGCCCGCCTTAAGTACCCGCTTCCTTTGATCCTGGTGGCTTAGTGTGCAGGTACGCGGTAAATGCTGTGTCGAGTTGCGTTAGGGGGATGGGACGTGATAGGAAGGGTAAAGGGATGATGTTTGTGGACAAGGAAGGTGTATATAAGGTGGTCCATTTCGCAGAGAACGGAATAGATAGAAGCAGCATATTTCCTGCGATGTCTTCAGTTGGAACTATGAGACAAATCACTCTTGGAACAACTTTCGGTTCTTTTGTGGGCGTAGAAGAGAATGAAGTGAGGAAGTTCCTAGGGATTAAATATGCCCAGGTGGAGAACTGGCTCTCTGCGCCCGAACTCATCACTTCGTATGGCAACAAAGTCGTCGATGCTACACGATACGGGTAAGTTACTTTCTTACCTTTCGTCGTCCAAACTGTCATACTGACAACACCAGACCACGCGCGCCAGCACCAGACCTTTGCACATTCGAGCAGTCTACCTTGATCCAATGCACCATCGGCACCGCACCCGAGACTCCTATGTCCCATTCGGAGTGTCTCAATCTAAACATTACCGTTCCGTGTCTTCCCACTAAGACCGACGGCGCTCTACCAGTCATGGTGTTCATTCACGGCGGCGGCCTCATCATGGGCGCAAACTCTTGGCCGCAATGGGATCCTGCACGTCTCGTCAAGATGAGCTCTGACATTGGTATGCCCACAGTCGTCGTCAGCGTGAATTACCGACTAGGTGCACCGGGGAATCTCACGAGTGAGGAGTTGAGAAGCGCTGGGTATGTAGGAAACAACAGTCTGAGAGATCAGAGGTGTGCGTTGAAGTGGGTGAAGAGATTTATCGGGGGCTTTGGAGGTGATGGGGAGAATGTTACTGTGTTTGGTGTTAGTGCTGGGGCCAGTATGTTACTCCAAGTTGTATTCTCCATGCGGAATGGGAGTGTGCTAATATGAGATAGCCTCCGTATTGCATCATCTGAGTTGCAAAGAACCATTGTTCAGACGTGGGATCAGCATGTCTGGAACACCGCTCATGCTCAAACCACTTTCGCCTGCTGTGGCCGAAACATCTTACAAGGCTGTTCTGCAAGCCCTGGGACTCGAAGACGCTTCCACGCATGATCGTATTCAGAAGTTACTTGCCATGAGTCCCGAAGACCTGGTCCAGAAGATACCAATCAAGATTCCACTCGCTCCATACCTGGATGGCGACATGATTCCCGAAGCGCCCTCATTCGCGAACTTATCAAATGGCACGCTCCAGAGCTTGCACAACACTCGGTGCGAGGAGTTGTTGGTAGGCTCGTGCGTAGATGATGGAAACGTCTTCTATTTCATGGGTCTGAGTTCGCGTCTTCCTGGCATCGCATCCGCAATTCATACATCCTTCTCCCGCAACCTCTCGGCATCGGTTGCTCAAGCCGTCTTATCTGCATACGGTATCGCACCTTCAGCTCCAGACGAAGAGGCCATGACATCCATCATCAACTTAGGAACGGACATCGCGTATGGGCTTCCTGCATCGTACTACGCGCGTGCTTTCAAGGGGAGGGTTTCCTCGTATCTCTTTACTGAGCCAAATCCTTGGGACGGCATGTTCAACGGGAAGAGCGTGCATTTGATGGATGCAGTGTTCCTGTTTCAGAACTTTAATGAACATATACCTGATCAGGCGAAGAAGACGGCCAGGAAAATTGCGGAGGACTTTGTGGCTTTTGCGTACGGGCGGGCTGGTGGTACTTGGGCGGAGGGTCAGACTAAGATATATGGGCCAGACTCTGGCGATGTTGACAGACTGGAGACATTAAGACAAGAAGGAGCTGTTGATCTAGATGAGGTCAGTGTGGCGTGGGATTTGTTTGTTGCTGGGAAGTAGCGAATGAGAGCTTCTAAGGTCTGGTCGGCAACACTCGTGTCGAGCACCCGAGTCCTCTACCTGGTTAGTTACGACAGCAGCAAAAGTTTTGTAGTTGTTGCTCATCTCACATCTTCTCATGCATCATGGTATCGGTTTACCGAAAACGAGAATGTGCGTCGCTCGCGAGTGTCCGCCGAGCGCTTTCACCCCCGCACGCCCCATGCAGTTTAGTGCGGGGTAAACTCGGCCCTGACCACAACTCCCGACGTGCAGCATGTGGGGTCTTCGAGCACATCCCCACGCCCCATAAACACAGCGACGACGATGTTTGCCGCGCAGCTTAGCCGGGACGATGTTTCCGATCGGCAAAGGTGCGAGAGCGATGGTGTAGTAAGGCATACCACGCTTGTGTGACGGCGTATCGTAGCTTCCTTCCCACACACCTCCGAATTGCTTCTTGTAAACAACTTGGATCTCGATTTTGGTGAAGCACGTAACACGAAACCGATATGTCGAAACCCGTAGCCATCGTGACAGGCGCCGGCTCTGGCATCGGAGAAGCAGTCGCAACCCACCTATACAGCAAAGGCTTCAAAGTTGTCGTCGCAGACCTCAATCCCTCTTCCGGCGAGCGCGTAGCCAGTGCCCTTGGACCGGACGCCATATTCCATCAAGTCGACGTCTCATCCTACAAATCCCAAGCACAGCTGTTCAAACGCGCGTATGAATGGGGCGGCAACCGTCTAGACTTCTGCCACGCCAATGCAGGTATCGATGACCGACAGAACATCTTCGAGGATATGGACAAAGAGGAGCTGGATGAGGAGGGCTTGGTCAAGAAGCTGAATACGAAGACTATGGAGGTCAATCTTGAGGCCGTCATCCAGGGACTGTGGCTGTTCAAGTATTATGTCAGGAGAAGTAAAGAGGCAGGTGGAGGGAAGGGCAAATTTGTTGCCACGAGCAGTGCAGCAGGGTTGTAGTAAGTCGTTTTCCCACAATTCTCGGTGCCTGAAGAGACTCAAGAGACTAACGAGACCATCAGCGCCATGACACAATGCCCCCAGTATACCGCCAGCAAATACGGCGTAATAGGCCTATGCCGCGCCTCAGGTCCCGTGTTCGTCAAAGAAGGCATCACCGTCAACGCGATCTGCCCTGCCTTCATCCCCACAAATCTCTGCCCACCAGAAGTCGCGGCGCGCTGGCCCAAAGAGCACATCACACCTTTGTCGACAGTGAACAAGGCCATGGACGCTTTCCTCGCAGACGACAACTTGACAGGCCAAGCGGTGGAGTTATCACAGGAGAATATCTACTTCAGACAACAGGTTGATTATCCGAATGAGAGTCAGCGGTGGATTGGCCTGGAGAGTGATAAGATCTGGGATGTGGGGTACAAGGAGCCCCCGAAGAGGGCGGGATACTAACAATAGTTTTGTTTCAATCGAAGCTTCAACTTTTGGTAGGCTCAACCTTTTAGATGCGGCACAGTCTCTCCTTTACCAACTCGGCCATGACACATTATGATCTTGATTATCCATCAATACGATAACGTAATGATGATCAAGATCATAATGTGTCATGGCCGAGTTGATAAATAAGGAACTTGTCTTGTAGCTATCATCTCTCCAAATAGCAAACTAAACACGTCAATAATGGAGTCCTTCCCTTTCTGCCTTCTCGCTCTCCTCCCTCATGACCTTGGCATGCGCTTCACTCCTCGGCCTGATATCGCATTCAAACGGCTCTGGTACACTCATAAACCCTGGCTCCATCTTCGTATTGACTTCCACCTCCTCTCCATCTTTCCCTTTCTTCTTGTTGAGGTTGAACCCCCAAAGTACGCGCGATACGTTGATGAAGAGCGAGCGCTCGGCGACATGGACACCAGGACATCCACGCCGCCCCGCGCCATAGGTGAAGTGATCGCGCTCCAGAGGATCGGGACTGTTCATGTAGTGTGCCGCAGACGCGGTGTGGTTCAGATAGCGAGATGGGTCGAAAGCCGTGGGGTTGGACCAGAGCGTTGGATCGTTGTGTATCGCCCTATAATAAGAATCAGTCAAATGGTAATGGGTATGATAACGGGGAAGGAAAGTAAACATACCACCAATTCAACACAACGACACTTCCCTTGGGGATAAACCACCCCTCATACCAATCATCCTCACTACTCGCATGCGGCATGCCAAACTTGTTCACGGGCCTCCATCTCAAGACCTCCTTAATCACACTCCTCACATACGGCAGCTTCTCCTCATCCTCCCACGTCGGCAGTCTGTCTCTACCAACCACTCGATCCAACTCTTCCTGCGCTTTCTTCTGCGCCTCAGGAAATAATACCATGCAAAGCACAAAATTATTCAGCGTCGACCCCGTAGTCTCAGACCCCGCTTCAATGAGCCCGCCGCACGTGTACGCCGCAGCCAAATCATCAATCCCCGATTTCTCAGGCCCGTTTAGATAAAACGTTTTCGTGAAGCAGTCTTTCGCTATACCGTCATCTGTGTCTTTCTTCAATTTGTTCCACAGATCGAGATACACTTTACTGTCTTGCTCGCACAGCTTCTGTCCATGGGTGCGCCAGTTCCCGAAGAGCCATTGCGGCAGCGAGGCCAGCGCAGGAAAGGAATCTATAGCCCAGGCGCCGGGCGCGGTGTTTACGGTAAAACGGTCGATGACGCCGTAGATGCGTTTAATCAATGGATCGTCCCAGCTGGGTATCCGGTAGCCGTAGGTAACTTGCATGATCACGCTCGCGGAGTAGCGGCGGTTGATGGACATGAAGTCAGCGGGGTCGCGCATTAGTTGTTGCAGTAGGACTTTGCTTTCAAAGTCTTGCACCGGTTGGTAGTTCGTGCTTGCTGTCAAATTTAGGAGCGCATGGCTGTGCTTGCGGATGCTGCGCCATCTCGGCCCGTATTGCATGAAGAGTTGGCGGCGGCCCGCTGATAAGACGTCCTGGGCCATGGGAGCTGGAGCGCGGGAAGAGTAGATGTTGGATTTCTTATCCATGAGGTCTTTCACCGCTTGAGGTGAGGACAGCCAGATGTAGTCTGTTCCGCCGATCTTGGTGTGGAATACATGGCCGTACTGCTTGCGCCAGGCGATGGCTTTCTCGCGGACGGCTTCGGTGTCTGCGAGCTCGAAGAGGGATCCAACGAATGGGTGACCCTTGGGACCTGGTGGGAGATGTCGACGTCTTGGGTCCTGCGGTCCGAGTCAGCGGAATATGGGCTGGGTTATCTCATGGAGTGTGTTGTTACCTTGATGGCGTTGGGTACGACAACGAAGTATATTGTCAAGAGAAGAAGTATTGGTGTTGTAGCAACCAGCCCAAGTTTAATGACAAAAGAAGATTGCCAAGTTGCCTGAACAATATCGAGGATAGTCATGGTGGTGATTTGCCGTGAAGATGGAGAAAATGCCCAACCACTTGAAAGCGTCCCTTGAAGCACCTAGACAGTGGGCTGTAATGTTGATGTTCTATGCATACAGCTTTTAACTTCAGACCTCCCGAAATTTAATGCAGCTATTGGTGAGGTTGCATAGTTCCAAAAGTTGGGGTATACCTAGGTAGTTCGTGGACCCTGCAGCTTCCCCGCAACATGGGCCCCACAAGCCGCTGTACCCCAGGATACTACAACACGATCCTGGTGAGACCAAGTCGGCATCAGATGTGAGCAAAAGGTTGGGAAAGAGCACATACCCGGAAACGTGAAAGGGATTGAGGAGAGAACGACTCGGAAGCCCCAACACCCAACACCGCATCCTCAATATGCCGTTAGAACGCGACGCCTCCGGCCGAACATTCATCCACCACTCTTCCGGTCAACGAACCCATTACATCCTCAACGACTTCACCGACCCATGGAAATCGCGAGAAACAATCTTGATCCAGCACGGTTTCGGGCGTCACGCCGCCTTCTGGTACCACTGGATCCCCGTTCTATCTCGTAAATACCGTGTCATACGACGGGACTTGCGAGGCCATGGATTCTCCAGCTATCCCCAAAAGTCAGACAAGTATGACTATACCCTAAACACAATATTAGGCGAGATGATCGATACGCTTGATCAGCTGTGTGTGGAGAGGGTGCATTTCCTCGGTGAATCGACGGGAGGTATTTTGGGCGAGATATTCGCGGCGAAATACCCAGAGAGGCTGCTGAGCTTGACTGTTTGCTCTACACCAACTTATCTGCCTCCAGTGGCTTTACGGCTCTTCGCTTTCGGTAGGAAGGACTGGCCGACGGCATGCAGGGAGCTTGGGTCGCGGGGTTGGGCAAAAGAGTTGGCGAGAATTCCTGGCACCATCCCGGTGTCGGATGCGCAATATCTTCCTTGGTATTTGGGTCAAATTGCTGTTAGTAATGGTGAGGGATTGGCTCAATATGCGGAGTTTCTGTCGACGTTAGATTCGAGGCCTTGGTTGGACAGGATCAAAGTGCCGACGTTAATCTTATCGCCGACGCAGAGTGCTGCTGTGAAAGTCGAAGATATGAAAGCTCTGGCGGAGAAGATCGAACAAAGCAAGCTCGTGCTTGTTGAGGGCCCTGGACATGAGATATACGTCACTCAAGCGGAGCAGTGTCAACAGGCGTTCCTAGGATTCCTGGAGAAACTGGACAGGGGCATCACTAAAGGAGAAAATTAACGTAAATAGGAATGGGTGTTTTACATTATGGATTGCTGCATATATCATGCGCAAAACGTACTCGCTGGACCCAGAAGTCTACAATGCGTTGAGATCAAACCAACCTTTCATCTTGATACTAATGTAGCCTGCAGCGCGCCTCTTCGATTTCTCCTTTTGGTATCGCTGTGGACCATTTTAACGGCTCAAAAAAAGAACGACCGCCCAATGTCTGCATCAAACGCCGTCAATGCAAGTGTGAGTGGGTTTTACCATCATGCTCCTAATGCGCCGCTATGCAATAATCATAAAACATGTGAAGCCAAAAACGTGAGTGCTCGGTGCGAAGTGTAGAAGGCACCGGGGTCGGTGGTGTGAA